TTCTTTATCATTGTTTTACTTACCCTTCTATTTTTTTCATTTAAAAAAATTATTCAACCAATCAAATTTTTTTGAGTTGTCTGATTTGTTATTTTTTTATTATAAATGATGAGATATGTTATATAGATAATTCTAACCGACTCTTATTGATCCACGTCTTTATCTTCAATGCGTCTGTATAATTATTAATACATTGTATCTTCTGAAAATATAATTACAGACTTCGTAGTGTAAAACCATTAATAAATAATTGATCAACCAACTAAATTTGATTGCTTATTCGTATTAAAAAAAAAAAAATTGTAACGGCACCATCTCTGCCATAATGACGATTGGTCGACATGAGAAAAGAAGAAGTTAATCATAGCTTTGTGTTGGAATAACAAGGAAAGAGAAAAGTGATAATGATTTAGAAAAGAAGAATTAGAAATGCTTAGTCACACGATAAAATACTTTTATGCCCTTTCCCATCATGGTAAGTGGTAACCAAGTCTTCAACCTTAAAAGATACATAAATACTATATATAAACTAATATCTGGAAACCCTAAATTATTCCAATTTTGGTTACTCCCAATAATGGATCTCCTCGGCAAAACCTGCTAGGGCCGGTAAACCAAGTCTTTTTTTTGTTTTTAAACAAATAAAAAATTGTTTCTTTAACATTTAATAATATAGCTGATAATGCAAAATATCTTATCCACCCAATCATTTTATGCCACGTGGTGGATATGGTAATATAAAACGATACGATTTTTGTGAATGCTTCCCATTTTTTTTCCCATGCCCTTTCTTTTCTTTTCCATCGATACAAAATAACCTTAGATTCAAAATGGATCATCCGATCAAACCCGATTCAAACCCACATAAATTCGAGATTTTAGTGAGCAGGTTTGACCTGATCCATTTATTATATAGGTTAAATTTACATATCCAAATCCAATAATATGAAAATTGAAGGCTAAATAGGTTATATAGATACCCATATACAAATTAAATATCATAATAAACTATTTTTAAAAATTACCATTTCATATTATTATAAATAAATAAAACAAAAATTTTCAAGTTTCAAGTAACAAACTAAACAAAAATATTTTCATATCTTAAGATAAATAAAAACCATAAAACGTAAAACCAATATAACCTTAAAATCAATAAACTATTGATTAATTTTAACAAACACGGGAATTTTCGTTGGATTCATCTGCTTCCTTGGATGCATCTGCTTCCTCGTCATCATCACTTTCATTGTCTACAAATAATAAGAAAAGT